AAATACTTATGGATCTGAATGTGGCAGACCCGTTGACTAAAATTCTCTCACAAGCAAAACATGATCACACCTCAGTACTCTTTGGGTGTTAATCACATAGCGATATGAACTAGATTATTGACTCTAGTAAACCCTTTGGGTGTTGGTCACATGTCGATGTGAACTATGGGTGTTAATCACATGGTGATGTGAACTATTGATGTTAAATCACATGGCGATGTGAACTAGATTATTGACTCTAGTGCAAGTGGGAGACTGAAGGAAATATGCCCTAGAGGCAATAATAAAGTTATTATTTATTTCCTTATACCATGATAAATGTTTATTATTCATGCTAGAATTGTATTAACCGGAAACATAATACATGTGTGAATACATAGACAAACAGTATGTCACTAGTATGCCTCTACTTGACTAGCTCGTTGAATCAAAGATTGTTAAGTTTCCTAGCCATAGACATGAGTTGTCATTTGATTAACGGGATCACATCATTAGGAGAATGATGTGATTTACTTGACCCATTCCGTTAGCATAGCACTTTATCGTTTAGTTTGTTGATATTGCTTTCTTCATGACTTATACATGTTCCTATGACTATGAGATTATGCAACTCCCGTTTACCAGAGGAACACTTTGTGTGCTACCAAACGTCACAACGTAATTGGGTGATTATAAAGGTGCTCTACAGGTGTCTCCGAAGGTACTTGTTGGGTCGGCGTATTTCAAGATTAGGATTTGTCACTCCGATTGTTGGAGAGGTATCTCTGGGCCCTCTCGGTAATGCACATCACCTAAAGCCTTGCAAGCATTGCAACTAATGAGTTAGTTGCGAGATGATGTATTACGGAACGAGTAAAGAGACTTGCCGGTAACGAGATTGAACTAGGTATTGAGATACCGACGATTGAATCTCGGGCAAGTAACATACCGATGACAAAGGGAACAACGTATGTTGTTATGCGGTTTGACTGATAAAGATCTTCGTAGAATATGTGGGAGCCAATATGAGCATCCAGGTTCCACTATTGGTTATTGACCGGAGACGTGTCTCGGTCATGTCTACATTGTTCTCGAACCCGTAGGGTCCGCACGCTTAAGGTTTCGATGACAGTTATATTATGAGTTTATGAGTTTTGATGTACCGAAGGAGTTCGGTGTCCCGGATGAGATCGGGGACATGACGAGGAGTCTCGAAATGGTTGAGATGTAAAGATCGATATATTGGATGACTATATTCGGACATCGGAAAGGTTCCGAGTGATTTGGGTATTTTTCGGAGTACCGGAGAGTTACGGGAATTCGCCGGGGAGTATATGGGCCTTATTGGGCCATACGGGAATAGAGGAGAGAGACCAAAAGGAAGGAGGAGCGCGCCCCCCCTCTGGTCCGAATTGGACAAGGGGTGCAGCCCCCTTTTCCTTGTTCCTCTCCCCCTCTTTCCTTCTCTCCTACTCCAACAAGGAAAGGAGGAGTCCTACTCCCGGTGGGAGTAGGACTCCCCCCTTGGCGTGCCCTCCTCCTAGGCCGGCCGCCTCCCCCCTTGCTCCTTTATATACGGGGGCAGGGGGCACGCCATAGACACAACAATTGATCTCTTGATCTCTTAGCCGTGTGCGGTGCCCCCCTCCACCATAATCCATCTCGATCATATCGTAGCGGTGCTTAGGCGAAGCCCTACGTCGGTAGAACATCATCATCGTCACCATGCCGTTGTGCTGACGAAACTCTCCCTCAACACTCGGCTGGATCGGAGTTCGAGGGACGTCATCGAGTTGAACGTGTGCAGAACTCGGAGGTGTCGTGCGTTCGGTACTTGATCGGTCGGATCGTGAAGACGTACGACTACATAAACCACGTTGTTATAACGCTTCCGCTTTCGGTCTACGAGGGTACGTAGACAACACTCTCCCCTCTCGTTGCTATGCATCACCATGATCTTGCGTGTGCGTAGGAATTTTTTTGAAATTACTACGTTCCCCAACACTCCGCCCCTCCCCCTAGTCCAATTCGGACTAGGCCTTTGGGGGTGCGCAGCCTGCCCTAGGCAGCCCCTCCCTCTCTCCCCTAAAGCCCATTAGGGCCCATATACTCCCAGGGGGGTTCCGGTAACCCCCGACACTCCGGTTAATGCCCGAACTTACTCGGAACCATTCCGGTGTCCAAACATAGTCATCCAATATATCGATCTTTATGTCTCGACCATTTCAAGACTCCTCGTCATGTCCGTGATCATATCCGGGACTCCGAACTACCTTCGGTACATTAAAACACAAAAACTCATAATACCGATCGTCGCCGAACGTTAAGCGTGCGGACCCTACAGGTTAGAGAACTATGTAGACATGACCGAGACATGTCTCCGGCCAATAACCAATAGCGGAACCTGGATGTTCATATTGGCTCCCACATATTCTACGAAGATCTTTATCGATCAAACCGCATAATGATATACGTTGTTCCCTTTGTCATCGGTATGTTACTTGCCCGAGATTCGATCGTCGGTATCTCAATACCTAGTTCAATCTCGTTACCGGCAAGTCTCTTTACTCGTTCCATAATGCATCATCCCGCAACTAACTCATTAGTCACATTGCTTGCAAGGCTTATATTGATGTGTATTACCGAGAGGGCCCAGATATACCTCTCCGACAATCGGAGTGACAAATCCTAATCTCGATCTATGCCAACTCAACAAACACCATTGGAGACACCTATAGAGCACCTTTATAATCACCCAGTTACATTGTGATGTTTGGTAGCACACAAAGTGTTCCTCCGGTATTCGGGAGTTGCATGATCTCACAGTCATAGGAACGTGTATAAGTTATGGAGAAAGCAATAGCAACAAACTAAACGATCATCGTGCTAAGCTAATGGATGGGTCAAGTCAATCACGTTAATCAAATGACAACTCATGTCTATGGTCAGGAAACATAACCATCATTGATTCAACGAGCTAGTCAAGTAGAGGCATACTAGTGACATTCTGTTTGTCTATGTATTTACACATGTACTAAGTTTCCGGTTAATACAATTCTAGCATGAATAATAAACATTTATCATGATATAAGGAAATATAAGTAACAACTTTATTATTGCCTCTAGGGCATATTTCCTTCGTACTAAGCCCCTGACACTACGACAACAAGAAGCTTTTCGGCACAATCTTAACTTAGACAAGTTGTGGTTGAAAGGGCATGTTGAAATACATATGCATTTCATGTGTGTACCACAACGTTTGTTAAGACAGTTGTTATAATCTGGTCACGAAGTTGTACATATTTGATCCTATCTCTTGTATAGCCGTCGTAGGGATCAAGTACTGGTACACAACCCGAACCGACCCTTGTAATCCCATCTATTATATATACATGCACGAGTCTCATCACGTGACACATGTGATAAACAGTTCAAACTATTCAAAAAATATATACGCATGAGTCCTTGGTACCGGAATAGCAAACACTTCCACCATCATAAATATTACATCCAGGAGCAGCCTCGTCTCAGGAACATCATCCGACCATCCAACTCGTTGACTGTTGGCCGCTAACAGCACAAACTCGAACTTGAAGACTCGGAATGCAGTCCTCCGTTAGTCGATGTAGATATACTTCACGATGACGCTGAGGAAGCCGGAAAAGTGATGGCCACACGGCTTCACTGGAGCTCTTCGGGCGGGCTTCATCAGCTAATTGGAGAGGGCTCAAGGTCAGGGACCTTTGGGGGTGCTCTGTGGTGGAAGAAATTCAACCCTGACACCGCGCATAGTTGTTACAGTTGCAACACTGCTTCCTCTTCGAGGGTGCCTAACATTGGGTCCGAACTCTGGCGCTTGTTGCAACACCTAGGTGACGTCACGACAACAGGTTGGGCAGGCGTGGGGCGGGGGAGCAGAGGCCAGCACGCATGAAGACCGTGTGAAGGTGCCACCCGTTCCTGGTCGCCGGTGTCGCACAGGGGGGGAGAGGGGTTGGTTAGGCGTCGGGATGGAAGGGACTAGGTGAGGGTTCGGGGAGGATGGTGGGAAAATGAGCGCGGGAGGAAGGGGGGCTAGGTGTATATGCCAAGGTGACGTGGCTACCAAGTTGGTTGCTGACTAGCTGTAGGCGGTCAACTCTCCAAAACCGATAAAAACAGCCTGGTGCCCACGAAATTGGCTTGAGGAGAGGAAATTGATATATGTTTGGTTTTGTGAGTTTGTAAAATAGAAGGTTTTGAAGTTTGGTGCTTGTTTCTTAGACTTAGTGACAATTCAAGGTTGAAATATGGACTTCTCCAAAACCTAAAGTTAAGCCAAATTTACAAGGTTGAACTGAATCTCTGCCAAATCTAAGATACACCTGTGACCTGTGATATGAACGGAGATTCTGCGTTTCTGCTTGCTGCTTGAACTCAGACCACTTCGAGGACCGCACCTTTCTACAGGCCCAACTGAAGGGAACCGTTTGGGAATTATTTCCCTCCTCTCATACGCGATAAGAAAGCCACCACGGCGAAAAAGTGGCGGGTAGATAAGCAGCCATTCTCGAACCATTCGCGCCTATTCCGTTACCATCTCCTGATCTCCGTTCGCATCTCCTGATCTCCGTTCGCATCTCCGATGCCTTCCATGGGCATGGCGTCCACTTCCCTTCTCGCCCCCACCTCCTTCGCCCCGGCCGCCGTCGCCGCCACGGCTCGCCGCCACGGCTCGCCGCAGCTTCTTCAGCCACCGCGGCCCACCTTCCAGTCTCCCCGCGGTCCGCCTCCGCCTCCCCCGCACGTCCTCGCTCGTCGTCTCCGCCTCGGCTTCCCCGCCGCGGTCGCTCGACGCCCTGATCTTCGACTGCGACGGCGTCATACTGGAGTCGGAGCACCTCCACCGGCAGGCCTACAACGACGCCTTCGCGCACTTCGGGGTCCGCTGCCCGCCCGCGGCCGACGCCGACGCGCCGCTGTTCTGGGACGAGGCCTTCTATGACGACCTCCAGAACCGCATCGGCGGCGGGAAGCCCAAGATGCGATGGTACGTCACGCCCGCAAGCTCGAGGCTTCCTTTCGCCTTTCGCGTGTGGCAGTCTGCCTTTTGCGCAATTCCTTCGTGTGCCCTGTGATTGCTTGCTTGGTATTTTGCCTCAGTAATTGCGCTGTGATTGAGTGTTGCTGGCATTTCGATTTCACAATCTGAATTCTTGCTTATCTGCATTGTACGCAGGATGCAGTTGGTCATTAGAATGGTGTGCAAAGTTTAATGTGGCAAGTAGTTACCATTCGAAAAAAAAATGGGGCAAGTAGTCTGAATGGGAATAACTGATTTTGCAGGGCAGGGCATGCTAGGGTCCACATGCTGTTTAAGTAGTTGATGATTAGCGTGTGGATATTGGTTCTGAATTGGTTTGAATCTGTTACAGGTACTTTGGAGAAAATGGGTGGCCTTCTTCAAAGATATTGGAGACAGCACCTTCAAGCGACGAAGACAAGGAGAAGTTAGTTGACGTTATTCAGGTCAGATTCTTTATGTCCTTGGTTCTAAATCAAATGCATTAGCTCCTTATTATCCTTTTTCAAGAGGTACAAATGCTTCGAACCATGTCTAAGAATCCATGAATTTTACAGAAGTACTCTTTTGCAGGACTGGAAAACAGAGAGGTACAAAGCAATAATCAAATCTGGAACTGTAAGTGAAATGTATACATTGAGAAATTCTTACTCATCATCTCATACTGATTTTCAGCTCTGTATGCTAGGTGGAGCCTAGACCTGGTGTTTTGCGGCTGATGGACGAAGTTAAGGGTGCGGTAATACTTATTGCAAGATCTATTTTGCTTTGTGCTAGTGTTTTCCTCATACTGTAAACTGATTTCCAACATAGTATATTTCATTTAATCCTTTTTGTAATGTACACTAGGTGAATTCTTATTTAATGTTCCTATTGAATTACAATAGTATGGGGCTATTTTGAAAGAAATGGGGTGACTTTGGTATATTGGTGTAGGGCATCAAGCTTGCAGTTTGCTCTGCGGCAACTAAAAGTTCAGTGGTGTTGTGTCTTGAAAATCTTCTTGGACTTGTAAGTTGCATTTGACTTAAGGTTGTGTTTCTTATATTTCTGACATGAATTTTATTTCCTCGGTTGAGATTCCATTTCTTTACCATTGTATGGTTTTATAGGAAAGATTCAATGGTCTGGACTGCTTCCTCGCTGGTATAGTTCTGGTTGTTTTTGCTTCTTTCTGATCATGTTTACCATGGCTGTTTTGGGGTTAACTGGCAACAATCACCAAAATGTAAATCAGCGTGCAGGATTGTCCTTACAAAGTTTTCGTACCAGTCATCCTAGTTGTTTTCTTGTTTTATAATTGTGCATTAGTAAAAGTAAAATATGGGTGTGGCTAGGTGTCAGTCGACTGAGACTTAACCAAGTCTCAGTCAAGTGGCATAACATGTAAGAAAGAAAGAATTTTTTTTTTTGCATGGATCTCAATTCAAGATCTCAGGAATATAGCATCGATTGAGGCATAACCAAGTCTCGGTCGACTGAGATCTAGCAAGACTGATAAAATATTACAATGGCTAGTGACAAGATCAAGAAAAAGAAGAAATCAGTGAAATGAATAATATGAAGTCTAGTAACAAGTTGAGATGTGTTTTAGCTTACGTTTTTCACCCGGCTAAGGCCAGATCCTATTTAAATGCACTTGCAATTATTTGTTGTTTGGTAGGTGGTTATATTCTGAAAGCTATGATAAGTGATTCCACGGCATTCAAAATTCTTGATCGTTTCATGTTGCAGGCGATGATGTTAAAATGAAAAAACCCGATCCATCGATATATATTACAGCAGCAAAGGTAGTGAGCACAATTGGAGCAGATCATGTCAAACTTTACTTGAGAATTATTTATTTTTTAAATTCGTTGTGTTAAAGACTTAATTGTTCGATGCAGAAATTAGGATTGGAAAGCAAGAACTGCCTTGTGGTAGAAGACAGTGTCATTGGACTACAGGTAGGTCTTCCAAGTTTTTATTTATCAACTAAACTTATACTCCCTCCGTACTAAAATATAAGACTTTTTTGTAGTTCAATTTGAACTGCAAAAATGTCTTATATTTTGGTACAGAGGTACTAGTACTTTTGAACTCGAGAGATGACTTTCTTTTGACAGGCAGCAAAAGGAGCAGGGATGTCATGTATAATAACATACACACCTTCAACTTCTAACCAAGTAAGATAGAGCTTAGCTACAAAATATTGTTCAGTCTAACAGTCCACATGCTGATCTTCTGAATTTTCTGTAGGATTTCAAGGATGCAATTGCAACCTATCCTGATCTCAGTAATGTGAGGTATGTAATGTCTTATAGTACATTTTAGTTTGTTTCATCTGGTAAAAAAAAAAAACCACACCTGTTAATTCTTTACAGGCTTGAGGACCTGAAGCTACTGCTCCAAGAATCTCTCGTCACTGGATAGTGGAATTTCCTGCTACCTGTTAAACAACACCTGTTAATTCAATCCACCCAGGGGTTGGGTGATCCCCACCCCTCACCTAATCCCCACTAATTCCTTCACCCCCACAATCCCTCTACTAAATCACTGCTCGGTTAAACCTCTTGCCCCTCGGGGAGATTTGAATTGTGCATTGCTGTCACAGTGTAGCGGCAACGGTGAAACATTTGGAGTTACAACAACGGCATGCCCAACTGAATTTACAGTAGAACACATGTACTGAACAGGGGCACATATTCAGCATTTCATACACAGAGAAGCGATTTGAAAAGGAGAAGTGTGAAAACGTAACATTCCAGCTGATTACAGTGATACTGTTGCAGTGAATTATGATCAATTTGATTTGTTCGAAGGAAGCATCAACAAAGCACAATGTTAAGCCTGTTGTCACGCAACTACTATCATTCTCAGCAGTCATTTTCCACTACGGGACGCATCAGCGGAGCAACCGGCGAGCATGCGGGTGCGAAACGCTGACGAGCGAGACGTCGTCAACGACGGGCCCGCAGAGCGTGCCGCTGCTGTCGGACGTGGTGTGGTAGCCGGTGCTGTAGAACACCACCCGGGTGCTGTTCCCCTCGGCCTTGAAGTCGAGCTTGTCGCGCACGAACCCGCCGGTGCCGCGGGACTCGTACGAGACGCGCTTGCCCCCGTACGCCGTGGCCACCTGCACGCTCATGGGCGACGCCGCGCACCTGTTTCCCGCGTCGCCCACCGAGAACTGCAGCCTGTAGGACCTGCCGGGCACGGTGGCCACCTCCTGCACCAGCGCCACCTCCACGCCGGCCACCAGCTCCACGGCGCGGGAGCCGTGCGGCACCCGGAAGTGCGCCGCGTCGATGTACTTGACCACCTTGGAGTAGGACATGATCGCCCACCCCGGCAGCGGCGACGTGGCGTCCTCGTCCATGGGCGGCACCAGCACCCCCCACGGCGACCCCGGCGTCATGTACGGCCCCTCCTCGAAGTCCCCGTTGATCAGCATGTTCTCTGCAGCACAGGTGCAGAGTAGAGTAAGAACTCCGTAACGTGATGAGATTTCGTGGGCGCGGTTAACGACGAGATCGTGTGTGTCTTACGGTGGGTGGCGTGGGGAGGGTTGAGCGTTCTAATGGCGACGGCGTCGACGATGGGGCCGCAGGCGGGGTCGTCCACCTGGTCGTCGCCGTGGTGGATGACGAGCGACACCACGCCCTGCCGGGCCTTGAAGGCCCAGGCGTACGAGTCCCAGCCGCTGCTCGTGTACACCGTCTGGACGGGGAGCTCGCCGCTGGAGGCGTCGCCGGGGACGATGGACACGCTCAGCCTCTCGGACTGGGCGCAGGTGCGCGCCGCGCTGAAGGTGACGGAGTAGTACTTGCCCCGCGTCACGCTGAGCTGGTGCTCGATGGAGGAGTCGGTGCCCAGCCGCACGGCGTGCCTGCCCTCCGGCACCACGAGGACCATGTGGTCCTGCTTCGCCCCGCACTCGATGTACTCCACGAACCCGGTGGCCTTCCAGTGCGGGATCGCGTACTTCCCCGTCACCCTCGAGCCGTTCATCTGGGACCTGTTCGGCGCCTGCTCGAAGTTGCCGTTCAGCAGCGGGCCTGCAGCTTGCATGACAGCACGTATGTCAGGTTAGACGACAATGTAGTAGCTAGCGAGATCCGTAAGAAGATCAAGGAGTAACAATGGCTCTCACCGTCTCCGCCGGAAGCGGCAGCTCGAGCAGCCGCGCAGACGAGCAAGAACAGAACGCCGTTGAGCACCATCTCTCCAGCTGCGAGCCTAACCGGCGTACAGCTCTCTTCTCGGCTACGGGGCAGGTGCTCTCGATCACGGAGTTGCTTAACCGGGAAGGTGCCATCTGGCTCCACTTATAGGCCGACCGTTGAGGCTTCCGGTCAGTTGGGCTGGCGCCGCGAAATGCGGCGGAGCACGAGCGGAGGGGGCTTCGCCTCGCTGGTCCGTCGGCGACGCGCGTGGTGAAATCTGCAGCTGCGGCGGCATTCCCCCTACGTGCGACCACGTGGACTTGAGCGGCGTCTGTGATGATGTTCTGGTTGCCGCGATCACTGCCGCATATGGACGTCGGAGCGGAAGGTTCCGTTTATTCGCTTGGTCGGCCGGCCGGTGCACGCTGGCTCGCCCACGCGCAAGATCGAGGAGGCTGTCAGTGGTGTGGCGCTGCCGCGGGCATCTTGCCAGAGGCGAAACGGGGCGACCGATGCAGCTCGTTCTGTGGGCAGGATCTCAACTGGGAACCATGGCGACTGGGGAGGGCACACCTGCGTGGACTCTGCTCACATGGCCATTCCGTTCCTTTGTCAACGCTCCTCCGTGCCGCGTGTCGGACAGGGTCGGCCGGGGATCAGCCTCAACTGGCTGGTGGCTACTATTTTTTTTTTTGAGAAAAGGAAACAAATAACCCTAAACAAGCACAGTTTACATTGTGGTGATGATAGCCGCCAAGCCGCCAACTGCTTCTTGAGTAATGTCTTCGTTTACAGGGTCGGACGAGATCAGGCTCAGAGAAGGCCGGCTTCCTTCTTTCTTTAAGTCAAAGAGAGGCCGATTTCATAAAAATTAAGGAAAAATTGAAATACGTACAGTGGTTATCTACAAAGAAAAAGAAACAATTAATAAATAGCCCTAAACAAGACACGCTTCAGATTGGGGTGCTAGCCACCGGCCGCTTTTTGAGTAATGTCTTCTTTCACCCATGAAAGCAACATTCAAATATAGGAGTTTTGAAAATGGGGTGGTTTCTAATCCACATTTTGATCTGGATATCAGACTCATCGGACCCTAGAAAGATTTTCTTTTTCAAAATGGAGGCAATTTTTTCAAAATGGGCCCATGGCAACAAAGACAGATCGATGAACGCTCCCAATACACTAGGTCTCAACATCGCAGAGGTAGCCCCATTGGTTGGCTACAATGGTCTTCTTTGGTTTAGAGGAATTTCATAGGAAATCTATAGGATAGGAATTTCGTAGGAAAAATTCTTTTGGAGTCCTTTGATTTGTAGGAATGGATTCTTATTCCTATAGGATATGAATCCATCCCTCACATTTCAAATGAAACAAAATGGCCTAGACTCAATGGAAAAATTCCTAGCATATGCATCAAATGTCGTCTCTTTCTTTATAGGAATTGAGATACATGTCATCTCAGGCCTCTTTTGGTTCATAGGATAGGATTATCGTAGGAATAGGAAATTTGTAGGAAATGAGATTACGGTCTTCTTTGGTTTAGAGGAATCTTGTAGGAATTTCATAGGATATGATTTATATAGGGGCTCATTCAGTTTGGAGGAAATCTAAACGTAGGAATTTGAAGTAGTATAGGAATTTGACAGGATGACACTTGCCACCCTAAGAAATTGACTTGCCTCGTTCCTACGCATAAAATGAGCTTTGAGTGGATGTGCAGTTTCCTCCAAAAGCATAGGAAATGAATAGTATTCCTACGAAATTCCTTTACGCATTTCCTACAAACCGAATGCATATATAGGAAATTTTCCTCTGGAATCCTTGTTCCCATGTTTTTCCTATAAAAATCCTCCAAACTGAATGAGGCCCGGAAAAATTCCTTTAGGCCTCTTTTGGTTCATAGGATAGGATTATCATAAGAATAGGAATCTTGTAGGAAATGGGATGACATGTATGTCAAATCCTATGAGTAGGAATAGGAAACAAGATGTCATTTGGTTGACACCAAAGGAATTTTTCCATTGAGTCTAGGCTCTTTTTTATTTTCCTATGAAATCTGGAGGATAGGAACTAATCCTATGTAGGAATAGGAATCCATTCCTATGAACCAAAGGGGTCTAAAGGAAAAAATCCTATAAGAATCCTATCCTCTAGAATTTCTATGAAATTCCTCTAAACCAAAGGAGGCCTTAGAGCCCTTTGGTTTGTAGGAATGGAATCCTATTCCTGTGGAGGAATTCTTCCTATCCTCCACATTTCATAGGAAAATAGGGCTCTTTTGATTCAAAGGATTTGCATAGGAATTTTGGAGGATTAAAATCCTTAGGAATTTTTCATATGTTGGTTGTTTGATTCATAGGTTTGAATCCTATAGGAATTTTTCCTAAGGAATTTTTTGTACTACTTCCCATAAGATTTCTAGCATCCACTCAAACCTCTTTGAAAGAATCTTTTGTTTTTCCTGTGATGCAATCAAACAACCGAAAATCATATAGGATTGAGATGAGCATGACATTCCAATCCTATACCTTCTTTGGTTCATAGGATAGGAATTTTATATGAATAGGAAAATCATAGGAAGTGAGATGACATGCATGTCAATTCCTATAGAGAAAGAGATGTCATTTGGCGCATAGGATAGGATTTTTTTTTTCATTGAGTCTAGGCTAATGTTTTTTTCCTCCAAAATGTGAAGGATTGATTCCTATCCTACATAGAAATAGGAATCCATTCCTACAAACCAAAGGGCTTCAAAGGAATTTTTCCTATGCAAATCCTATCCTATAGAATTCCTACAAAAATCCTACAAACCAAAGGAGGCCCTATATTTTTCATATTCCCATGTTTTTACAATCCCACGAATCAAAGAGGCCTCAATGGAAAAAAAATTATGATGTGAATCAAAGAGCATCTCCTTTCCTATTCCTACTCATAGGATTTGAGATAGATGTCATATCATTTCCTATGATTTTCCTACACTATGAACCAAAAGAGGCCTATATGTATCTCAAATCCTATGAGTAGGAATAGAAAACAAGATGTCATTTGATTCACACCAAAGAAATTTTTTCATTGAGTCTAGGCTCATTTTTATTTTCCTATGAAATGTGGAGGATAGGAACCAATCCTATATAGGAATAGGAATCCATTCTTATGAACTAAAGGGCTCTTAAGGAAAAAAATCCTATGAGAATCCTATCCTCTAGAATTCTTATGAAATTCCTCCAAACCAAAGGAAGCCTCACTTCCTATGATTGTCCTATTCCTACGATATTCCTCTCCTATGAACCAAAGGAGGCCATAGAAAGAAAAGAAAAAAAAAGTAGTACAAGATTACATGCTATCTTGATCAAACAAGATTAAATGCATTCGCTGAAATATCAAATGAGTTCTAATTCTATGAAAATGCACATCCCCTCCCGAAATCCCTTGTAACTTGTTCATCAGAAGTCCTATTGACCCCTGACCCGCGCTGACCGGCCTACACGCTTTGACCACAGCCACGTCGATAGGGGGCCCACTAAGGCGTAATGGCCGGACGTGCATCTTTGCAAAAGAAAAGAAAACAGCAAAGCTGCTACACACCAGAGTAAACAAAAATGTTTTGCCCCTTATTATTATTTTGCTCTTATAAACGAAGCTGGGCAATATGCCAAAGGGTGAAAGGGACTATTTCTTTTGAGCGTATGTATTGGTAGTCGTGACAAATGAGCTAGCTAGAGAGTGTAGGCGACGATTGCTGGTATCGGTTGAGGTCATCCCAGACCAAGTGCTCGACCTCCTCCCACGACGTTGCATTCCTCAGCTCCTTCCACAGGCCAAATATAGCTGCCAAGACGTTGTCGTCGTGCAGTATGCAGTAGCACCTGTAAGCAAGCAGCGCACATCAGAACCAACACACATGTTTCTCCCTTGGACACTCACAACCCAACAAGGATCGATCACAGCTCGCATTGCTTATCATTGTTTGTTTATGTATGTACTTACATCGCGCGATATGATGCGGTGCTGAATTTCGAATTTTGCACCGACTTGTAGATGTCGTCGTTTGATTTCCCTCTGAGGAAAGGAAGCTGATAGCTTCCAAGGTACTCCCTCAGAAGATCAATATCACCACGGAAAACATCCAACTGCAGCGGAATTAGGTCGCACAGAGGATCCCCTGTTACGATAAACAATATTTGATCGCAATCAAATAAATAGATATAAACTCTTTCTAACAATCTTACATACTCCCTCCGTTCTGAATTACTTGTCTTACATTTGTCTAGATACGAAGGTATCTAGCACTAAAATGAGTCTAGATACATCCGTATCTAGACAAATCCAAGACAAGTAATTCGGAACGGAGGGAGTAGCTTCTAAGACTGCAAACCGGTAGATTTGAGCAGCTCAACTTAAGCATTTTTAAAGATAGTTATCCCATCTCCGATTCAGATGTCAGTGATACATACAAAATTGGTATTTTGTTAAATGTTCACATGACAATAACTTGAACAATGTCAGATTTCCAGGAAACAAAGTAAACCGGCTGCTTACCAATGGACAGATCACTGAAGTCAATAATATGGATTTCATTCAGTTTCTCCAGATCTCCGTCACCAGTGCTTTTGGTATCAGTGAGGGAACCCATTTCGGGAGCCCTCTGAGTAAGAATGTTATCGTCCATAATATCTGAATGTATCCAAGAAGGGAATGTGTACACCGAGTCACCGTCGCCATCCTAATTGTTCAATCATACCATTAAACACAATGCTCGACCAAGATGCATACAAAGTAGATGAGATTGAAAAATTACCTTAACAAACTTGATTAGAGAACTCATATCAGGAGGGAGATATTCTTCAGCCTTCTCAATTAAAACTGTTGGTACGGTACCACCCCTTCACAAATATGCAAGCAATGTTGAGGTATCAGGCAGTGTATGGAATTTTGTATCAATATAATATAGAACAGGTCAATACCAAATCAATGTATAGTCATTGCAATTTATATTTTGATTATGTTGAAATGTTAGAATATTAAAGAATGTAATGGTTATTTATTGAATGCCTGCCTCTGCAATGTTTTTGGAACCTAAGTACACTTTCGTAGAGGATTTTAAGTTGCAACTCTATAAGACAATATTCTTCTTAGTCACGTCACATGATTGCAGACACAAAATTGACTTGCAAACTCACAATGTTTCTGGATAAAATAAACTGAGCAACAATGTCCTGTTTTAGTAAAACTTCAAAAATCTGTGCCGAACAAACCTGCTTTAGAAAAAAAATCACTTACCAGTTAGCTAGGTGCTTCTTTATATTATTCTTTCTTCTGTTTAGAGTAGAAATTACTTGTTTCCATTCAGGTGGATCACTGTCTTTCACATTATTGTCCTCTGGTTCGGGTAATGATTCCTCATGTGGAAGGGGTAATAAATGGATATTTCGCATTTGAACTCCCAAGGATGATGCAAGATTCAATAGGTCAGCCTTGGACAATGTATCACGGCTAAGAAAAATGAAGAGTAGAGTAAGCACGTATTTACATAATTAATCAAGTAATTATTCTCATTTTCACCTGAGAAATGAATAAAACTTACACGTGAGCAAAGATATCCCCTTTGCATTTTCTGGTAACCATGTAAGGCCAAATAGGTCTGTTTGAAGATTCAGCTGAACCATCCATTCCAAACTGTTGTTTGCTCCATAACCCAAGAGGAAAACAGCTGTTTGCATAAGAAAGCTCCAGAGGATAGTATTTAGCCAAAACATCTGGCATTCCTTTTCCATTCCATGGGACTGTTCTGTAGACGCCATCTTCGTACACAAGAAAGCCACTTGCAATGATCTCAGGGATGTGGTTGACCAAAGGCGAGCCAACTTTTCGCAGAAGATCATAGAACTCAAGCTGCATCAAGAAAGGGATCAAAATCGTGAGTGTTGCACTCAATTTTATTAAGTTGCAGAACCAATGCAACAATACCTCTGTGCCTAAACCATGGGCAGAATAACCCAAGCCTCCTTCAGCATTGATTTTAATCACATTGTCAGAGACAATGAAGACCTGAAAATTGTGGTGCATGTTATATTCACATACCATGCAGCGATGAGTGTATATGAACTGCAATTTGACACTAACTGGCATCACAGAATACATCTTAGAATCTCAGATATGTTTAATGTCTTGGGGATTGGCGCATAGCAGTGAGCAATTATGTATACAGTAACAAGTAAACCAAGATATTCTGTATGAATCAGTTTCTGTGAGTGATATTTATGGAGTAAGTATTTCGAACCAACACGAATTACATGATACTAACATGCCAGAATTGTTTATCGACAGTTCTAAATCTGAGACAGCTAGTAAAAGTAAGTGTATACTTACTGGGTTGCTACCTGTCCCAACAGGAAGCTTCTCATCCTCTGACGGTGCCGGTAAACTATGGCATGCCCTTATTTCCTCTAAGCATGCATACCATTTGTCCACATTTATTGCTAGGCATGCACCCTACACAAATAAACATATATATTGGCAGAAGGAACAGACCATTATCAAGAAATAGATACATAAACCACATGGTAATTTCATAAAAAAGATTGACATAGTAAAATTTTATGTAAATGATGGAACAAAGCTCACCTTCCATATTAGTCCTCTCAGTTCAGGTTTAAGAACCCATAGCCTACGCAGCCATTCTCTTGCTTCTCTCTGGCCAATTGGATTAGTAGGACTCCAGACAGAAGTATAGTGATCTTTTTCTTTCTCAAGGAATTGAGATAAGAAACCTATATCATATGAGAAAACTTGGTTCTCCAAACTTTTGTCGACGTCTGAGAACTCAAATGAAGAACACTGACTTTCACTGTTTGAATCTCTTACAGACCCTGAACCTTTCAGTCTTTCTTCTGTACAGGTCATGTCATTGTGGTTCGATGTAATTGTTCCAGGTGGATGATTTTCTATATCTCTAACAGATTTTCCCGGAACAGCAAGTAAGCCAGCACGACAAACTCCTTTGTGACAGTGACCAGGTGCCATGTCTAGACATACATGCTCAAAATTTGATTGATTGACAAAATTCTGTGTAACTGCAACTGTCGTCTCAAGGTTTAAAACACAATGCCACCATCCACTAGGAACAAATATAGTCTCTCCTGGCAATTGTGTGCATTCCAGTGGCTTCTCATGTTCGGCAAGATGAGGATAGATATCAAGCCACCACTGCAAAGGATCAAAATAATGTGAAACGATATGGGGTAAAGTTTGGAGAAAAGCAAAAACAGTAATAAGTTCATTACCTGCAAAGATGTTGGAGTCTCAATGTCAACATCACCATCTTCAGCACTTACATGTACTGTGACACCACCAGGCACTCTTCCTGGAGGGTACAGTGCCCATCTATGAAATAAGGTGGAAATCATTAGTGGAAACACAAATTCTTGCTCCTTCCAAATTTTCAGCATTGTACAACATAGGACAGTCAGCTTTAACAAGTCAAGAGGAGTACAAGTTAAGGTTGTATAGCATATCCTCGCACAGTTCACAGTATAGGTCTATGGTTCTAAAGTTCCAATTCAAAATACAAAGCATGCACCCAAGTTGAATCACATCTCTCTATTGCCCTTGGTTATCTTCCGTCTCTGTTCAACATATATGACATGATTCTCTCTCACTCCCAAGACATAACTATGGGCATCCTGACTAAATTTGTCAATCGTTAATTCAACTCGCCCAGTTGGCTGATTATTTCTGCACGACTGTTTTTTCACATCTGACTTTAAAATAAGCAACACACAGAACAGCACCCAGTCACCCACAAGCTGCACCAAAATAGAAGCACTGCAATGACCGTAAGGATCCAATAGGCCAGAAATGTTGCACAAGATCCATGCACATTTGTTTAACTGCTACTAGATTTCAAATATACAACTACGTGGTGAGTACCACAGCTTGAGTGCACTATCGAGTAACACCTACGCACACGTATATAAAACAAACGGTCCAACCTTTTTCGGCCACAAAGAAGAGTATTCCACGCACTGGTTAATCCTGGATCAACATGCCAAGAGGCACCTGATCTTTCTGGTCCAATGATGAACCATCTGAAAGCTGGTCTTTGTTCATAATCCAAGACATCAAAAAGATCTTCTTGAAATAAATGAGGGACTCTGTAATCTTCCAATAGTGCTGGTGCTGACTCTCCAAACTGTAACAATTTTCTGAACTAAGTTTCTTCTTTATTTTCATAACTTCAGTAGTAAATGAAATGAAGTGATGATTACCTTATCATCAAATATGTAAAGAGGGTCTTCATCATGCTGGAGTTCCATGTAAGAAACGTAGTCTTTCAGTTTCATTATTATCTTCTTAGGGCTTCTTTGTGATATCCTAAATGTAACTTCACCATAATCATGTACCAGTTGCTGCATCGACCATTTCGTTCTCGCTGGCCAGGATTCAGCCAGCTTACCAAGCAAAACCTAGTTGTGCAATACCACCAATATATTTCAGATAAAAATCATTGCAAAACAATAATGTAGAAAATCCACATGTTATAAATCTGAATTAAAAGCAAAAGCTAACTCAATTCTTACTGGGCCTTTTCCATCATACTGAGAACGGAAATGATCCAAAGAAAGATCATCCTTTCTTTCCACATGGCCATTGTCAAAGGAATAACTACTCAAAGTAGTAAAACATCTATACCATCTCCTGTATAAGTACAATGAGTTGAATCCTGCATGAAAATAAGTATGAATAGGGAAATAAAAAAGGCAAACACAACAAACATAAAGTAGATGTACCATACCATCAAAATGACGAGCCTTCTGCTCAAGCTCACTATTTTCGGAGCAAAGATTAAGCCTGAAAATGAAGCAATCCAACCTTTTCAGTGGTAATCATTGGTCAACTTAGGATTGTTTTCAAAATACAGAAGGTTACACGACAGATAGAATGGTGATATACCTAGACAACGTTGTTTTCTTCCAAGAACCTTTGTACTCAAAATGACCACCAACGGAAAGATATTTACTCATCCAGAGAGGTTCCTCGTTGCAAAGTATGTACATGACACTGCAAAGTGCAAAATGATTTCAGATACTGCGTCATCCTACCACCGTTTTAAGGTAGAAACACAGACATGATGTCTTAGCTCATGATCTCTAGATAATGACAATGTCAAACATCAGGAACTACCCTCTGGTCCCCTAAAACCTGTTGTTTTGGACACGGACACGGTCTTTAAAATACAGTTTTGACCTTTAGTGTCTTTAAAGTACATCCATAAAATCCAAAAGAATCATACATCATGGAAATACTTCTCAAGATCAATTCAGTGATGTTCAGGTATCTAATATAAATATTCATGAAGATATTGGCAGCCAAAATTTCCGAAAAATTGGCTCTACCTTTGTCTAAAACGTCCGCTTTTACAGGACCGCAGGAGTACGATTCTGTGCTCGTCCAGTCTAAAATAGGTGACTGTTTAGTGTCCTGCACACAGAAACATGAAAGAAATGTGTGCTTCATGATTTCTGTCTATCTAGCCGTATACTCTCTCCGTTCCTAAATATTTGTCTTTTTAGAAATTTCAAATGGACTACCACATACGGATGTATATAGACATATTTTAGAGTGTAGATTCACTCATTTTGCTCCGTATGTAGGGCCTGTTTGGTTCACACCTAGGTCAGCCCCGCCAAAATCGGGCTCGCCAAATTATTGGCAAAGGATTTCGCCGCCTCCGTCTCGCCAGCGTGCAGGCATTAAAGTTGAACGAATGACCCAAAAATTGGCGTGGGCAGGAAACTTTCGCTACGAACCAAACGGACACCGTTACTTATGGTCAACGCCAAAAGTTTGGTAAGGCAGCCTCGGGCTGCAATCCAAACAGCCCCGTAGTCACTTCTTGAAATCTCTAGAAAGACAAATATTTAGGAACGGAGGGAGTAGTTATGTTTTAACTGCTACTACCAGTCTAGTATAAACGATTACTAATACCAATAAGCATTTAGCATAAACATGTGGTGGATTGTTATTTGATAAGAAAAGGAAGCATTTGAGAAACAAAACAACTTGCTAACATCTACTTCGGCCCAGAGACAATACTCTGTCTCTGGTAGTAGCTTCAATTTCCACTCGAGTTGAGTGACCACCATTAAAATCAAAAATCAAACCTCAGCACCCACATTCTTAACTAATACATGGAGCTAACTGCAAAACAGAGGAGAAATGAACAGAACAGAGAGAGAGAGAGAGAGAGAGAGAGAGAGAGAGAGGGAGACGCGGCGACCTGCTGACGCATGCGAGGCGGCCGATGTCGGTGGGCTGGAGGAGGTCGACGACGGCGCAGAGCAGCTCGTCGGGGAGCACCGCCAGGCCCCCCAGCGCGGCGCCCCTCCGGTCGTTCCCCGCCGATTCCATTGCCGCGCCGGCGACCGGGCCGGGTCGGTGGGCCTGCTTTGCTGGCTATGGGTGCGTGCCGGGGTCAGAATAGTAGTATCATCGGTGGGATGCGGTGGGCTGGAAGAATTCGTTTATTTATAGTGGCGAGCTTTTTTGAAAAGCGTGGACGCGTATTGGATTCGCCGATACGGCCTGTCGACCCCATCATTTTGGGTCGCGTAACACAGAAATCCTGTAAACTGGGCGGGAAAGCATGGTTCATCTGAGGCGTGCGCCGGCACCGTACGCGTGTCCCGAGTGACATGCAATTGATGCTCCGATTCTATTCCGTTTTATTCAGCTTATTTTATTTTCTTTTGGTTAGTGACCGCCGAATCTTGCACCACTTTGCATTCTATTCTTTTCACACGCACGAAAAATGTCATATGCAGCTACGGACGAAGGCATGGGTAGAAGAACGTTTTTTCTATTACACCATTCCATGATTAAACTAGCACAATAGCTAAATGTAAGTCGCCTGAAAATAAAATTTAGGTCGGTCATGATAGATCACTGGATCGGTTAGGGTTAGGAATTCTCCGGTAGACCTACCTTCTGCTTGAGTTGACGAGCTCGATCCAGCGCCGGCCATGATGAAGTAGGCAAGGTGACGATGTGGACAGGGAGTGGATGGCGGCGGTGGCGGAGCTTCCCGTGAGCGCCGCGCTAACCCTAAATCAGAAGGGATTGTCGATGGGGGTTGTGGCAGCGATTAACCTCGTAAGTCGTGCCCCGGCCCTCACCTCTGTTTATATAGCATGGGTCACAGGGGCCCACCAACCATGGTTTGGTTGGGCGCCCCCGATCAGGGCGCGAGTCAAGGGCCCGTTCGACCCGTTGGGTTCAAACGGGATAGAGATCAACCTAACATTCTCCCCCTTGATCTCAACTTTACTTTTAACTTTATACTTTCTAGTTTATTTGATTCATCACATATTGGTACATAGAGCATGTTTCATCGTCACAGCTTAATTGCCGTTAGAATCATACAGCTACAACATATGTTATGTTCAGAAGCAAATTCTGTTCCTTTTGGGCCTATCCAGAAATCATAAGACTTTCCCTTAAACCCATGCCGGCTAAGTGTTTCTTGAACACATTGGGTGGTAAGCCTTTCGTTAGCAGATCCGCAAGCATATTCTTTGTCCTTATATGCTCGAGACTTATAGTTTGATCCTGCATTTTATCTTTCACAACATAATACCTTATCTCTTAGAAAGGCTCGCCGGTGATCTATTAGGGTGGCAGGCTCGCCGGCGATCTGTATATTTTAGGGTCGCAAGCTCGCCGACGATCCATCTTAGGGGGGTGGGTGGGTGCAGGTTTGCCGGAAAATTTTGATCATGACCGGGATTAGAGGAATGGTTGGGGACGGCGGCAGCATGACAATACGGGGCAGTTGAGGGGAGGGCGTGATGGCGAAGCTGGTGCGGGAGCGCTGCCGCCGCGGGCGTCGGCAGGCGGTTTGGCCGGGGGTACGTCGGGCGGATTAGGGAAGAAGATGAACAAGAGGTTTGGCAGGAGGTTGGAAAAAAAATCATCTGGCCTTCATTTTGCATCTGACGGCTTTCAATCGACTGACCCAAAAACCATTTTCAGCTACTGTCATCTTGCATCCCTCCGCATAAGTAAACCCGTTCCTAAAACTTTTTCGATAAAGGGAAACCCGTTCCTAAAAAAATAAGTAACGAATAAAATGTGTAGTGGTACAATTGCCAAGCCAGCACGGCCACGGATGATACACTGTGTTCCAGACGCAATGTAACAGCCGTGTCAGCCTCGGGAACGAACGAACGCATCAGCGAAGCAACCGGCGGGCAGGCGTCGGCGGAACGCAGACGAGCGAGGCGTCGTCGACGACGGGCCCGCAGCGGGTGCCGCTGCTGTCGGACTTGGTGTGGTAGCTGGAGCCGGAGAACACCACCTTGGTCCGGCTATGGATCGCCGTGAACTCGAGCGAGGCGCGCGTGGTGCCCCCGCCGTAGCCGTCGGAGCGGTGCACCACGGTCTTGCTCCCGCCCGCCGTGGAGACCAGCACGCGCATGGGCTGTTCGTCGCTCGACTCGCACCGGTTGCCGGCGTTCCCGACCGAGAACTCCAGCCTGCACGCGCTCCCCGGCACGGTCTCCACCTCCTGCACCAGCGCGGCCTCCCCGCCGGACACCAGCTCCACGGCGTAGGAGCCGTGCGGCACCGCGTAGTGCGGCGAGTCCACGTACTTGATGACCTTGGAGTAGGACATGATCATCCACCCCGAGATCGGCGAGATGTGGGTCTCGTCCCTGTTGGGCACCAGCACCCCGAATGGTGACCCCGGCGCGATGTACGGCCCCTGCTCGAAGTCCCCGTTCCTCAGCAAGTTATCTGGACAAAATCGCACAGAGAGAGTCAGGTAAATGGCTGATCTGACATCTCGAAAGTTCATGCATGAGATTGTGTCTTACCGCCGGTGGCCTGAGGAGGGTAGAGCGTCTTGATGGCGACGGAGTCGATCATGGGGCCGCAGGCGGGGTCGTCCTCGTGGACGGGGTTGTGGATGGTGAGCGTCATGACGTCGTTCGTGGCCTGGAAAGCCCAGCAGTAGGAGTCCCAGCCGCTGCTGGTGTACACCGTCTGGATGGAGATCTCGTCGGACGCGTCGCCGGGGACGACCGACACGGTCAGCTTCTCGTACTGGGCGCACGTGCGCGCCGCGCTGAAGGTGACGGAGTACTGCGTGCCCGGCGCCACGCTGAGCTGCTGGTGGATGGAGCCGTCCTCGCCCAGCCGCACGGCGTGCGAGCCCTCCGGCACCGTCAGGATCATGTCGCCCTGCGTCTGCCCGGACTCGATGTACTCAACGTGCCCGGTGATCTTCCACTGTGGGATGGCGTTCGCCCCCGTCACCCTCGAGCCGTCCATTTGGAACCTGTCCGGCGAGTCCTCGAAGTTGCCGTTCGGGAGTGGGCCTGTAGCGTAACATGACAGTGTTAGAGACAGAAGCTTGTGCTGCATGTAAGGGCATCTCCATCCGCGTCCCAGGAAGGCCTCCCAGTCGTTTTTTTCTGCGCCGGCGTCGAAAAATCGGCCCAGTCGCGTCCAGGAGCTCGATTTTCGCCGGCTTGAGCCGAAAACAGCGCCGGCGGATTCAGGCTGAACCCGGCGCGCTGGGGGTGCCCGGGGGCGCCGGGGCGAACTGTTTTGGCGCGGAACAGCCGCGGGCTCGCCGCGTCAGCGACTCTACCCTCTTCTCGCCCCTTCGTCGTCCTCATCGCCTCGTTTCCCGCGGCGAATCAATGCCAAAGCTGCCGCGCTGCCGCGCCGGTCAGCCTGCGCCATTGATGTCTCACGGGTGGCGCAGTGAAGACCGGATGACGCGCGTTCCTCGCCCTCCCTCGCCCGCCACGCGTACTCACGGCGGCTCGCGCACGGGCGGCGCCTCGGCCTATATAAGACGCGCCCCAGCACACTCGGTGACTCGCACTCTCTCGCCGTCGTCGTTCCTCCCTCTCCTCTCTCTCGCCGTCTTCAGTTCATCACACCCATGGCCGAGCGCTTCCCAGGCGACGGCGCGGCGGCGAACGGCTTCGACCGCCGCCATCTTCACGAGAACGAGGCTCGCCTCCTTTTCGAGGCCGAGTACCCGGTCCCGCCGGACATGCGGGTGCCCGGGGCGTGGAGGATCAGCGCCGGCGGCGTGCCGGTGCCCCCGATACCCACCGGCGCGGCGCGGCGTGCGGAGATCGCACGCATCCGCTCGTCCCTGCCGCGTGCGGCGAGGGAGGGGCCACTGTACGTTCCCGACATCCCGCTCTGGGAGCCTTATTTCCGTCGCCGTCACGCCGAGCAGCTCGAGGCCACCAACGGCGTCGAGCCCTCCGGCAGGCTCAACGCTGTCGGCCGGCGTCGGTGGTGGGGCGTGCCCGGGCGCACGTTGGAGGCCGTCCTCGAGTACATCGACGGCGGCAACATGCCGCGCCTCGAGTACCCCGCTCCCCCGTCCTTCCCACGCCGCCGGGGAAGCTCCTGGACCCCGAGGCGCATGGAGACCGGGGGGTCCTCCTCCTCGTCCGGCGGCTCCCCCTGCCTCCACCTCCGCCCCGTCAAGCCGGAGCCCCAGGGCACGTCTGTCAGCGCGCGCACCCGCAGCTCCGGCGTCCGCATCGGCGACAACGCCTCCCCCACCGACCGCTTCGTCCTCGTCGAGCCCAAGCCGGAGCCCGGCCTCCCCGTGGAGTACGAGGAGATAGCCCGGCGTGGCTTCTCCGACGAGGACGCCCTGCGGTGGGCGCGGGACGACTATCTCCGCGACGAGATGGTCCGGCAGCGCTGGGCCCTGGAGGAGATCACCGCCCGCAAGCGTGGGCGCGAGGACGAGCACGGCGTCGTGGTCCTCGACAGCGACGACGACGACGACGACGCCCCCGGACCGTCCAACCCGCCGCGCCAACCGGGGGAGGGATGCAGCAGGGACGGCAGAGGCGTCGGCGGGGGCGACGACGACGACGACGACGATGACGACGGCGATGACTACACGCGGTTCTACAGCCTCCTGGGCATGTAGAACCGCGTGGGCGGGCGGCGAGGCGGCCGGCGAGGAAGACGACGGGGGTAGCCCGCGGTAGTTTTTCCTTTTTTTATAAAATATGTTTAAATTTGAACGAACTCGAACATGTTTGCGTTGTGTTTGCGCCGAATTTAAACACTTTAAAAACCCATGGAGGGCCGCGACTGGGGGGCATCGCCCCCAGTGCGCGATTTAGCGCCGGTGCATTTCCAGGAGGCTATTTTTTACCCCTCCTCGAGGGCCAACGGCTGGAGATGCCCTAAGAAAACTACTAGTATAACATAAACAGTCAACGCCAGCATTTTGGGAGAAGCCACGCTCTGTCTTCTAGCGTAGCTGATGCTTAAAAAGTTCGCTAATCTTAGTAGCCCCTCTAAATCTAAGCTGAGCGATTACACGTTTCTACGTAACAAATTATAGTGACACTACTCCTGTGCAATCGCGCGACAATTAACACTAAACTTTCTTACAGTGAGTTAACCGACACTAGTTTCATTGACAACCTAGCTAGCAGGCTGGCATGATCATTAGTACTCACTAAGAACATCGAGAAGACGACAACAATGACAAGTTAGCAAATTAGACTCCCAGTATGAATCCGGCAGTCCATTCCACTCCACTAAATTATGAACCAAGCTACTAGTAGCATGCATGGAACATGTAAGTAACTTTTGTGCGTGTGGCTCTCACCATCGCCGGCAGAAGCAGCTCGAGCAGCCGCGCAGACGACCAAGAACAGCAGCGCGCCCTTGATCGCCATCTTCTCCCGCTCTTCACCTCCTAGATCGGCTAATGTACCTCGCAATCTTCCTTCCTCGCGCTTTGGAGTAGTTCTCTCGAGCTTCTACGTGTCGGGGAGAGAGCTTATCTGGGAAGTCACCGTTGCACTTGCGGTCCACTTATAGGGGGCGCGACGAGGAGGAATAATAACGGGCCGATCGATCGGCTGGGCGCCGCGGAACGCGCCGGGGTCGTCGCGCGCTGCACGAGGCCACGAGAAGGGCACCGCCCTCCTCTCCACCTGGCCACTGATTCGATCCGTCGGATGCGGCCACGGGCGGTGAAAAATGGCCTCGATCGCCGGCCGGCGCTTATTATCAGTTGGTGGTACGACGTAGTACGTGTGGCTGCAGGCGCAACGGCGTGCGTTCACGTGGACTTGTGCGGCATCTGCAGGCCGATGGAATGGAAGGATCCCGCTGTCTCCTCGATCGATCGATCGATTGGCTGGGCGCCAGGTATCCGGGCGATCACGTAGCGTTCATGTGGATTTTGATCTGCAGCGGTGGCATCATTTACGAGTCGTCGCAGCTTGAGCTCCCTCCAAGGACAGCTTATAAGATGCTTGACGCTGGAGTCAACTTTGCGCCCTGTCAGAAGGGCGCGTGCATATCTGAATCGAAACAGTACGCACTGATGGTCCACTAGTATCATTTAAAAACAAGGACCATAATAATATTACCACCGTTCCAAAATTAAAGGACTTGGATTTGCCTAAATATGAATGCATCTTCTTTTTTGCAATGGAATTGGAAGCTTTATTAGTGAAGGATCGTAAGGTTACAGTCTGCCCGTAGGCTAGATAAAAGGAAATCTAGGCTTGCATCAAGCCAGCTCTCAGTGCCATCAGGTGAACAAGCAAAGCGAGCATACTGATGGGCTGGAACATTTGAATCCCTACCAACATAAGTAACCGTGAGAGAAGCAAAACTAGCACCGATCTTCTCTAATTCCTTCAAGACAAACGCCCCAATTCACCATGAATTATTGTGTGATTTTCATAGATTGACTAACTCCAAGCAGTCAATCTCCAAGATCACATGTGAGAAGCCACGAAGTTGAGCAAAGATCATTCCTTCACGAAGGGCGAGAAGTTCAGCAGTAAAAGGATCAGTAACACCCTGCAATGGTTTACTCCAGGCTCATAGGAACGCCAAGTGTGAGCGAGCCACACCTCCGGCCCCTCCTTTTCATGGCTTCGACACTCATGGCCCCATTAGTGTTTATAGTTACCCAACCTACTTCGCGTGGTCGCCAGCACTGAGCAGCCGCTGCTATCTTGTGCTATGGAGGAAGATCCAGAATCGCCAATGTCTCATGAACCCATTTTATAGCTTGTGCTGGGTCATAACCTTCACAATCGCGAGTCCAACAATTACGTGATGTCCAAATGTTGTGCATGATCGTGATAACTTTGCAGCGCTCATCTTCTGTTAACAAAGAGTCCAGCAAGATGTCTCGCGCCCATGTATCTGGATGCAGATGAGGCGAGTGGAGCAGAAATATGTCCCTTGTTGCTATCCAAAACTTTTTTGCATGAGTGCAATGTATCATCACATGTTGCATGTTCTCGTTGAGGGAGTCCTGGATTAGGGGGTCTCCGAACAGCCGGACTATATCCTTTGGCCGAACTATTGGACTATAAAGATACAAGATTGAAGACTTCGTCCCGTGTCCGGATGGGACTCTACTTGACGTGAAAGGCAAACTAGGCAATACGGATATGCATATCTCCTCCTTTGTAACCGACCTTGTGTAACCCTAGCCCCCTCCGGTGTCTATATAAACCAGAGGGTTTTAGTCCCTAGGACAATATACAATCATACCATAGGCTAGCTTCTAGGATTTAGCCTCTCTGATCTCGTGGTAGATCAACTCTTGTAATACTCGTATCATCAAGAACAATCAAGCAGGACGTAGGGTTTTACCTCCATCAAGAGGGCCCGAACCTGGGTAAACATCGTGTCCCCTGCCTCCTGTTACCATCCGTCTTAGACGCACAGTTCGGGACCCCCTACCCGAGATCCGCCAGTTTTGACACCGACATTGGTGCTTTCATTGAGAGTTCCACTGTGTCGTCACCATAAGGCTTGATGGCTCCTTAGATCATCGCTAGCGATGCGGTCCAGGGTGAGGCTTTCCTCCCCGGACAGATCTTCATATTCGGCGGCTTTGCACTGTGGGCCAATTCGCTTGGCCATCTGGAGCAGATTGAGAGCTACGCCCCTGGCCATCAGGTCAGATTTGAAAACTTGAACTACACGGCCGACATCCGTGAAGACTTGATCTTCGACGATTTCGGGCCCATGTCGGACACGCCGTACAGTCCCGACGAGCATAACGTAACTCTGTCGTCGGATAGTGTTCGGGAGATCACGTCCGCAGCTACTCCGTCCATCAATCCGGAGCAAGTCGCGCCATCCGAGAGCAGAGGGATGGACCCTGCCATGGAGGCCACACTCTCAGTGGCGATAGAGCCGGATACTGACTTCACCCCTTACGAGAGCCGTGTCGCCGAACCACTGGATTCATCTCCGGCCATGGACTCCGAGCTGCTCATATCCGTGCCCGTCGAGTCCGACTGGGCGCCGATCATGGAGTTCACCTCCGCGGACATCTTTCAGCACTCACCCTTCGGGGATGTGCTAAACTCATTAAGGTCTCTCTCCCTGTCAGGAGAACCTTGGCCGAACTATGTCCGGCTAGAATGGGATGCGGACGACGAAGAAATTCGCGGCCCACCCACCACCCACTTAGTAGCCACTGTCGACGACTTAACCGACATGCTCGACTTCGGCTCCGAAGACTTCGACGGTATGGACGATGAAGCCAGAGACGAACAGGATCCACCGCCCTCGGGGCACTGGACCACCACCTCATCATATGATATATACATGGTGGGCACCCCCAAAGAAGCCAACGGCGACAAGACAGCGGAGGATGACCCCTCCAAGAAGCAACTCAAGCGCCGACGTCAGCGGCGCCGCTCTAAGTCCCGCCACAGCAAGAGCAGTGATACCGGCACAGGAGATAATAACACTCCGGATAGCGCCGAAGACAACAACAATCCCCTCCAGCACGATGCAGAGCTAGAGGACGAACAAGCTAGCCCTCTAGAGCAGGCAACAAATGGAGAACCGGAGGGGGACAATTACATGCCTCTCTCTGAAGACGAGGCGAGCCTCGGCGACGATGAGTTTATCGTGCCCGAGGACCCCGTCGAACAAGAGCGCTTCAAGCGCCGGCTTATGGCCACGGCAAGTAGCCTAAAAAAGAAACAGCAACAACTTCAAGCTGATCAAGACTTGCTAGCAGACAGATGGACCGAAGTCCTTGCGGTCAAGGAGCATGAACTCGAGCGCCCGTCCAAAAGTTACCCAAAACGCAGGTTGCTACCTCACCTCGAGGAGGAAGTATTAAAACCTCATTCACCAGTGTACGATGCGGCTGACCTGCCACTACGCGGCCGAGCCAAAGAGGCGTTTCAGCCTAAAGTTCAGACCGCACCTCGTCGCCACTCAGTCAAAAATACTAAGGCCTGGGGCAACACAGAGGACCTGCGAGACATCTTGGATAGTAAGGCAAAAATCGCAAGGTCAATATACGGGACACGAGCATGTGCGCCCACACGGGATGATGATCGTCGCGTCGGATACACCAAGAGTAAATCCGGCCGGGCCGAATACAACAGACAAGACTCATACGAACTACGTCGGGATATAGCCTGGCACAGAGGCGGCACACACCCCCTATGCTTCACTGATGAAGTTATGAATCATGAATTCCCAGAGGGTTTCAAACCCGTGAATATCGAATCATACGACGGCACAACAGATCCCGCTGTATGGATTGAGGATTTCCTCCTTCACATCCACATGGCTCGCGGTGACGATCTACATGCCATCAAGTACCTCCCACTAAAACTCAAAGGACCAGCTCGGCATTGGCTGAATAGCTTGCTAGCAGATTCCGTTGGCAGTTGGGAGGATTTGGAAGATGCATTTCTTGAAAACTTCCAGGGCACTTATGTGCGGCCACCGGATGCTGATGACTTGAGCCACATAACCCAGCAGCCAGGTGAATCGGCCAGACAATTCTAGACACGGTTCCTGACTAAGAAAAATCAAATTGTAGACTGTTCGGATGCAGAAGCTCTAGCGGCATTCAAGCATAACATCCGCGACGAGTGGCTCGCCCGCCACCTCGGCTAGGAGAAGCCGAAATCTCTGTCAGCCCTCACAACACTCATGACCCGCTTTTGCGCGGGCGAGGACAGCTGGCTGGTTCGTAGCAACAACACATCTAGGAATCCGGATACCTCGGATACCAAAGACGTTAACGGTAGGTAGCGTCGTAATAGATCAAAGCGCCGCAATAATGGCGATAACACCAAAGATACGGCAGTCAATTCCGGATTCAGAGGCTCTAGATCCGGTCAGCGGAAAAAGCCATTCAAAAGAAATACTCCGGCTCCGTCCAGTCTGGATCGCATACTGGATCGCTCGTGTCAAATCCACGGCACCCCTGACAAGCCAGCCAATCACACCAATAGAGAATGCTGGGTGTTCAAGCAGGCCGACAAGTTAAATGCCGAAAACAAGGACAAGGGGCTGCATAGTGATGACGAGGAGGAGCCCCGGCCGTCGAACCCAGGAGGACAGAAGGGGTTTCCCCCACAAGTGAAGACAGTGAACATGATATATGCAACCCACATTCCCAAGAGGGAGGAGAAGCGTGCACTAAGGGACGTCTACGCGATGGAGCCCGTCATCCCGAAGTTCAACTCATGGTCCGCTTGTCCGATCACCTTCGATCGCAGGGACCACCCCACTAGCATCCGTCATGGCGGATCCGCCGCACTGGTCCTAGACCCCATCATTGACGGATTTCACCTCACTCGAGTCCTTATGGACGGCGGCATCAGCCTGAACCTGCTTTATCAGGATACAATGTGAAAAATGGGTATCGATCCCTCAAGGA